GATGGCAATATTACACAAAAAATTTAAATTTGAGGAAAATTACATATGCCTGCTCTTATTTCCCAATGGGAAGGCTTATTGATATTAATATATTAAAATTTACTTTTAATAGCCATTAGAACCGGGTGTTATGCTAAGCCATTCCTGTGCAATCTGAGAGCTAAATTTGGTTCTTCTACATACATTAGTCATTTAATTCCACGTCTCCCAGGATAACTCCCAAGTTAATAAGGTTGAAATGAGCAGGTGCTGCTCCGAAGAACACAGTGACCAGAGATAATCTTGGTGCTGCAGCTTTCTCCTTTTATGGGCCTGAGTAGAAGCAGGTGGGAATGTTTGACTTTCCGCCTCTTTACCTTTATGGTAAATTGGACTGTAGAAATGATGGTGGTGGTGTGGTGGTCTGTGTTGTATCTCTAGAGTTTTATTCAATCTTCTAGGTTAATGCTGCTGAGCAGGGCATATGTTCTTCATCTATACTAATAGAGATACTGAATTTGCATAAAATATTTAATCCTATCATTATCCTTTTACCAACTGCCAAGTATGCCCTACTGAGTACTTGAGAACATCTTTTATGAGTTTATTATCCTTATTGAATGAATAAACTTAAAAAAGAAATTACTCCAATCTTCTAGGTAGTCTCCAAATATTTTAACCATACAGCTGTAAGTGAATTTTGAACATATGTCATCCAATGTATATATATTTATTAACTATAAATTATATATAATCATATCTTTAGTGGTTCAGAGGACCAGCTGTGGATCTAAACTGCCTAGCCTCTCGTATTTCAGGTCTGTTATTTCCCAGCAGTCACCTTGAGTAACATATTTAATGAATCTATGTCTCATTTTTAAAAGGATGAAAACAATACTAGGTACCAGATATAGTTGCATATATTCAAGTTTAGGTTGTTATCACTATCATATTTATTTTACTGCCATATTCAGTATATTCTTCAGTAAGCAAAATGGAAGAAAAGCAATGATGAATTTAAAAAATGTAAATGTAAGTTCTAATATGTCATAATAGAACAATCATGGTTTATTTTTAAATAAAGATGAAGGATAAAGCATATTTTATAATACCATCTATTTATCTATTTTCTTCCCACACTACACTGGAATGTCTTATACTCACTATCTATATTTTTGCAGCATTTGCTGGGACACAGCTGCATATTCTTATGGGTTCCAAAACAGAGTAATAACCATATTATTTATTATAAAGTAGTAAGGCTATGGTAGAAAACCTCTAACAATTTCTGACCGCACTTTGCTGATGCTCCCTAAAAGCTTACTGGAATGACAGCTGTTAATTCCAGGATCCTAAAAATCTCAGCCATTGTAGTTTTCTACTGACCTGTCCCCAGTAAATGAGTCATAGTAGTCTTCTGAGTTTGTTTATCATATAGAACTCTGCACTGGCCAAAACACTAGGAGGAAGGCCTCTGTTCTGAATTTCCTATTTGGAGTCTGTATACACAGTTCCCTAACCTGGTCATAGATGGGACAATATCCAGTCTAATCTCTCCAGGCAGAAGGCCATGCCAGAGAAGAGTCTGGCTAGAGGTCATTATGCTGACACCTGATGGTGCTCCTTTTTACCCACGCTTTATCAAAAGATGAAATAATTGAGACTTTATAAGAATTCAATAGATTGTGTTGGTCCTTATATCTTCTCAGTTAAGCCTAGTATATATAGTGAGGAATTCTTCAATGTAATTTAGTCATTATAAATAAGACAATGATGACACAAATAAAGTTCTAGTCTCTTATATTGTGGTGTCTAAGCTATTTATCACTTACAGCACTTGTATGTCAGTCAATCTTCTAGGGCAGTTAAAAAAGAGTAGAATTATTGTACATGCCCTGGGAGGAAGGTAAATCATGTGACCAGCTCATACTGCATTCTGTGTCTTGGTGGGAAAACCTGTGCATTCAAAGACACACCTTAGTGTGTCTTAGGATCTATACTTGATTTAAAATGAACCATGACTTTGGACTCTATTTTCTTGGCTCCTAAAAATGGTAGTCTGAGTTGAATTATAAAATCTGTTTGTTATAATTTTGTATTAGAACCTATGCTTGGAACAAGCCTGCACCATCTGTGTCTCTGGTATGTTTGCTATCTTTGATGATGAGAATGTGGGAGCCAATAACATTTCCTTTTGCACCTGGCTGCCAGAAGTCTCGGAACAAATTTACAGCTCAACTGAGAAAAAATGGACAGAACTGTGTGGCCTACTTCTGTTATCACTTCCTTCATCTACCTTCGAGTCCCATTCCCAAGACATACATTTTCCACAGGCCTCATGTGTTTCATTTATGTTAAAGATTTTAGTACTTTTGGTGGTAAAATTGCTTCAAATCCCTTTTAGCTGAGGTAAGGAATAAATATTCCTATATTCTTTAAGTGTTAGGGAATATTATAAAGAAGATAGTTGGGTATTATTACTTAGAAGGGTGAGGGTAGGATTAAAATAAATTGTGTCAATAAGTTTCCAGAAATATCACATCTCAAAGTAATGTTTGAACAATGAATTAGAACCTTGCCGATTTAGCCACTTCCCAAAATTTTGTAAAATGACCCATTGAAATTTGAGATAAAATTTAACTGTCTAACTTTAGGTTTTATTTGCTTAATGGATATACAGTGTCATTTTTTAAAGGAAGGAAAAAGGGACAGTTTTTGTGTTAAATGGAGCCCTGATGTCATCCTTTGTAATTCTAGATGGACTCAAGAAACTGCCAGGAACAGCTCCAGAAACAATAGACTGAGTGCTAGACCTAACCCAGACCAGTGTTTCATGGCCTATAAAAACTTGGAGCTTTGTAGCTCCATATTTTTTTGAAAAGTAAATTAAGAATTATGATATGGACTATAGCTGCTAAACAACCAATAAAGCCCAAATGATAAAATGTATATGTATGAAAATTAATTTTGTTGGTGTTTCTTTGATTAAGAAGAAGATACTCTGACTTCTCAGGCCACACTGAGGAACTTCTTTCTAGTTCTCTGACTTTCACTTTACATGATTTCTGTTCAGTGTGTATTTTCAACCTGTTAGATCTACCTGATCTCAGAAAACTTAATCACTGAGTAGATATTTATTCAATGATTGAATGTAAATGAAAGCTACTCTAGATGCATGAAGAGCTCCTCTTAAGTAACCCCATCCTTTACCAGAGTTAAACTGAGAAATATAAATAACAAATAAAATTTACTCTCTGGTAAAGTCCTCATCATCTGTCATAAGTCTTTTAATGATTTAACACCAACAGAACTCTGGTTATTTTATACGATTTTGTAACTGCATATGAATTTATCCTGTAGCTGATCCTTTCCAAACTAGAACCAGGTTATAATAATTTGGGTCACAATATACAACTCCTATAATTGTTCTTATTGTTTTTTTAAAAATTGTTATTGTATTTCTCTACTACCATGTAGTCTCCTTATACCCCCCTCCTCCTGCAGTTACCACACACTGTTCCATGTCTATGAGTCCTTTTTCCTTTTTGCTTAATCCTTCCTCCTCCTAACCCACCAAGAGCTGTTAGCCTGCTCTGTAATTGACACCGACCTGCAGTATCCATCTCGGCTGCGGATGTTCGTCGAAACATGTTAAAAACATACACAGAGACAACCAGGTCTTGTAGGGGAATAGGAACAGCAGGGCCACTCCTCACGTGGGGAGCACCTTAGCCACCCTCTCTCCTGGAGGGTGCCATGGCCACTCCTCACGTGGGGAGAGTGCCCATTCCCCCTCGAGAGGCTTTTTATAGGTTTTGTTTGCATAGGGATTCAGGTAAAAGCTCATTAAACATTGCCAGGAAGTAAGGATCAAACAATAGATAGTAAGGAAGTCTGAGGGCCTATTTTGAGTCAGGATCAAAGAGCTGTAAAACTTTAAAGAACAAACTTACTTCTTCCTGGGACCCTTATCATTCAACTGAGAGCATTCTAAACAAAGCAGGTTTCACAGGATCTTACATATTCTTTCTTAGGCCTGAGCACCCAGGGAACCTGACCTTTTTAGCACAGAGCTGCACCACCCTGTCATTGTTTCAGGCTTAGGTGGAGCAAGGGAACTAAGGCAACCAAGAGATAAAGAGATTTTCTTCCAGACGTTGAGGACTCAGGCTATATCACAGCCAAGGAGCGAGGGTCCATCACCCCCTTTTGCTGTAGCCCCCAAAGTCCTTCTTTTGGGGGCCTCCCACGTGATCTTTCCTGTCTTAGGTCGTTTCCCTCTTGGGGAATCTTACCCATCATTGGCTAACCGACCAAGCACTGGGGTTCAGTTTTGAATGAAGCAGCAGAAGCAGCACTCCTGCCAGGGAGATAAGCTTTTGTCTCCTTGCTGGCTTACAGTCCAAGGCCACTCCCTCAGCCTTAGCCTTGGCAGGGGTTACAGCTTCTGATACCAGGCAGGGCAGTTCCCAACACTGCTCTCTCTGAGTCTGTCTTTATTATGCTTGTTAGTTCAGTTTGTTCATTAGATTGCACATAGGAGTGAAATAATATGGTATTTGTTTTTTTTCAACTGGCTTATTTCACTCAGTATAATGTTCTCCAGATCTATACATACTGTCACAAAGGGTAAATTTTCTTCTTGTTTATGGCTGAGTAGTATTCCACTGTGTATATGTCCCATAGTTGTTCAATTCACTAATCTACTTGTGGACACGTAGGCTTGTTCCATATCTTGGAGATTGTAAATAGTGCTGCAATGAACATCGGGGTGCTTACGTTCTTTTGAATCAATGTTTTGGGTTTCTTTGGATAAATTCCCATAAATAAGATTGCTGGATCAAAAGGCAGATCCATTTTTAATTTTTTGAGATACCTCCATACTGCTTTCCACAGTGACTGCACCAGTCTGCATCCCCACGAACAGCGTAAAATGGTTCCCCTTTCCTCCACATCCTGGCCAGCACTTGTTGTTTTTTGATTTATTGATGATCATTTCATCAGATTATTTCATTTTACAGGCCCAACAGCTTACTGATTTGGAACAAAAATTAGCTGTGGCAAGAAACACACTGGAGAAAGCAGCTCTTGACCGGGTGAGTTTATGTCCATGAATCATCACAACTTTGGTTTTAGCAAATGAAGGTCGGTCTGTTCCTTGCTCCCCTTGATTTCAATGTCAAATGCTGTTAACGTAAGAAGGTTGTAGAATTTATGAGTCCTGGGTATTCACTTTGGAACTCAATTTTTCCCTTGCTTTTGCTGCTAGAGTAAATTGACTCAAGTTTCAGGCTCTGAGTTCATGGCTTTATTTTTCACCTTACTGGTATATTGGCTCCATAACACCATAAACAAACATGCTTTAATGCACCAAGAATGATGACATGTACTAACTCTGGATGAATGAGTTATAAAGCAAATGGAAGTAGTCATTGATACTTTTCATTCTGGAAATCTTAAATCAGAGTTCTGGAGGTAGAGGCGTAAAAGAAGTTAGCTTTCTTAACCATAAAATCAGTTCTTGTAAAGATAATGCAAAGGTGGCTGAGAGTCCATCTTTGTAACAGCTTTATTGAAATATCTGCATACTATAAAAGTCACACTTTTAAAGTTCACAAAGTTGTGCTATCATCTCCATTATTTACAAATGATTTCCCTCAGCCTTTTTTTAACCTCAGATTGGTAAAAATCAAAAAGTCTGATGAGATCAAAGTCTGATACACTGGTGATAGGAGTGTATTTATTTAAATCAGCTGTTAAATGTGTGTATCTTAGAACTTGCACTTATCCATATATATTTGGGAGCATGTATAGAAATGTTCAATACAGCAATATTTATATTAATAATAAATGAAAATCATGTAAATGCTTACTGATGGAATTAATATATACAAATGATTTATTTTCTATATACCACTATTTTCAAATAGTAGTCAAAATTTAATATTAATGAACAAATATAAAGTTATTTGTATCAATGTTGATACATTTATAACATATATTATTTAGTGAAAGATATCAGAGGTATGTCTGTGGTATTTAACAATTGCTCAAATACACAAAACACATTTTGTTTTCACTATATGTCAAATAAAGTAGCAAGATACACCCCAAATTCATAGACATGATTGCCTTGGGGAAAGGTGGAGTGAAATAATACTAAAGATACTTTCAAATACTTGTACTGGGTCCCAAATGTTTTATCTTCTAACAGTTGTATAGCCATAGATAGTCTTTAATTCATACGCACACATATGTATATCATATGCATTATATATATTATGTAATATATGCATTGTTTTTATACATTAGATATATATAATGCATATATAGGTGTATAATACAAATAAGTATGTGCATATATTTTAATATGCAACCTATTTTATAAAATACTAATTATATATAACAAATTTGATTATATTATATAATCAAAATTTTGCTTTTAAACATTTACTTCAGATTGGCATTTATCTGGCATTTGTTATATTTTATGTTGTTTTTTACATACCCCTATATTTTCCAAAATAAGTTATTTTTTAAAGAGTGGAAAGTGTTTTGTCTGCTCTCAAGAGCTTTCCATTTTTCTGATTACAGCATAGCAACAATTTTATTTAGAAAAATAAGCAAGTAAGGTGATTGCATTCATAGGTTTATATTGCAATAGTGTACTGTATATGCTTAGCAATTTTTGTAAAGAGAGGAGATTGCCACCTAACTACCAACTTGAACATGAGTGTTTTGGTATAGAACAGAGGAGATGCAACACGGCTGATTCATTTTAAAGCTCTAGTGGTATTACCTTCTTATTTCCAAGGGACTTGGGTCTCACAGGGGCAATTTTTTTTCACTGACCTATGACCAACACCTTTCCATAGCTGACATAGATAACTTTTCAAACTGGATATCTGGAAAGTGTTGTAGTACTGGAATTAGTAAAGACATTTGTTAAATTCGAATAGTTTCTCTTTTTAGGGTTTTGTTCTTTGGGACAGATGTGGCTTTTGAATGAATAACTATATATTTTAACAACTTCACTCCTTTGGGATTTTCATATTTTAAATTAGCTTATGCAGGTAATTAATATGACATTTAATAGTTTTGAGGAAGTCTAATTTCTATTCTATAGACTAGGTCAAATATAATTTATTTTACCAAGGTCCCAGATTTATAGTTTTTTAATTCATGAAAAAATAAGTGTATATACCAGTTTATGCTAATCTCTGACTATATCCAACTCATGCTACATAATATTACTTTTTTAAAAGGGAAATGAGCCTTCACTGGTGAAATCAGAAAATCAGGGGAACATCTAATCCTAAAAGTTGAACTAGGCAACCTTTTTTTACAACAATTCTTTCTCTGGCACGATCCCCGCAATGCACCTGAGGTCTGAAACGCATGTCGACTTCCCATGGCCCTGCGGCAGGCAGCTCAGCCTCTTCTGAGTTTTCAACATCTCTGACTGCTGGAATGATTTTTCTTACATTAAATCTTTTCCCTGATTTGACTTCAGGTAATCCATTTAGCCAGTCCATGCCAAACAGGTTTAAATGCTTTTTGTGGGACCTCCATAGTATTAGGTGCTATGGGAAACAGAAAACACGATACCTGGTCTTGAGTTCCACACCTCTCACTATTTTGTTGGTTATCAGTAAGTAGGAAATAATTGCATGCAGAACTGTGAGGTCATAACAGCACCAAAAGTAGATATGTATATTTTAAGTACACATGGGTTATATGGACTGGTGTGGTCACATAATACTGCATAAGAAAATTATAATTTGGCCCGAGTTACAGAGTTCGGGCTTAATGTAGAGTTCATTCCTTCTTCCCCTTACTCATTCTACACTGTCCTCCTCCCCATTTCCGCCTGCCCCCGCCACCAGCACTCTGTGTCTTCCCCACCCCATGCCACAGTCTGCATTCACGACGAGAGGCCGCATGCTGTAGGGTTTAAGTTCAGGTCTCCAGTGACAGCCTGTGCTCATATCATAATTTTTCCATTGAATGACCATGTTTTATTCTCTCAAACTCTTTATGCTTCACTGTGATATCAAATAATAATGAAACTTACTTTATGAGGGTGATGAGAAAATTATATGCCTCAAAAAAAGCAACATACAGAGAAGAATTTATGGCACCTGGAAAACACTCAGTAAGCATAGTATTTGCTATGAGTGAAGAGACCACGGATACTGCCTCTCTGTGATAACAATTTCTCTTTTAACCTTCAGCCTCTTGTCACTCCTTTTGCTGCAGTGAACTGTAAAAGCATTTCCTACTACTGGAGGTTAATTTCAACGAATTTTATGTAAGATATGTGTGAGGCTCATAAATTGCAGTTATAAAGTCAGATAGAAATGCTAGTTCACTTCAAAATGAATAAAAACTTCAGTTTCAAGAAATTGCTCTTCACCTCTCTCCATCATCTTGGTCTCTTTATGTGAGAATTTTTTTTTTTACTCTCTTAAGGTATTCAGCTCCTAAGAATGTTTTATCTGGACTTCAAATAACCTTCAATACCTCATAAAAATCATGAAAACAAATTTCACACTCCAACTTAGTTCTCATAACATATTTAATGAAAGAAGTCTCAGCTTACTATCTCCAGATAAACAATAATAACCTCAAAGTCTAAGAATCGGCCTTGGTTTTTCAATCACTTATTTATTTGGCAATAGCTTAAGAATCATAGCCTCAGATACTGGAATAACTTTATAAATTACTAACTTTATAAATACTAACTTTATAAATTAATAAGCACTCTGCTTATCCTTCCAGGATTCACAGAGTTGATTTCATGGCAGAAAGAAAGTTAAAGGGAAAGCATTTGGATTCACAAGCCCTCATGATCTTTCCAAAGCCAGCAGCTGATATGGCACTCAGATTTCTCTCTGAGGACTTTACACTTCATGTAAATCAATTAAGATAGGCGTGAATAATATTACGTGAATTTTTACTTGTTTGGAGATGAAATAGTTGTATTTGCAAGTATATTTAACTGTTTCTAGCAAAAAATTCATTTGTCTTTCTGGGAAAGGTACTCACACATAGATACACAAAAAATTGCCTTTTAAATTTTCCAACATCTTAAGATCACTTATGTATACACAATAGTTTCTTATAAGCTTTACATATTATACAGCACAAGTACTCATATTTTAATGTCTGAAATTATACTTATATTGATAATATATATGGTCAAGTATAAATTATTTCATTATTTTCTCATGTAAAATTGTACTTGCTTATAACCTCTGGAAGGTTCGCTTTATTTATTCATGTAACAAACATTTGTTAAATTAGAAACTGGTGATGCTACAATAATGGTATGGGTCCTCAAAATTTACATTAGAATAGAAGTAGAAAAACAATAAACATGTAAACAATAAGATCATTTGCAATGGTAACCAGCGCTACATAGGACATAATTTAAAAACTGTGAGAGATTTTGAATAAGGAGTGTTCCTTGAAAGGGTGATCAGGCACTGTGTTTCCAAGAAGATAATGTGTAAGCAGAGACATGAATTTTTAATTGGAAGTTTCCTACATAGTTATTTGGAAAAAGCGTTCTGCAAGCAGAGGAAAACAGCAAGTATAAATGCTGTAAGATGCAAATGATCTTTGAATGTTTGTTGCACTATAAATGAAGGACACTGTGACAAGTAGGTCCTTATTAAGGTATTGCAATTTACTCACACATGGAAAAAGGAATTGGTGTGGGGAGAAGGCAGGGTGAAAACAAGACTGAACTTAGGAAGGAATAGATTATAAGATCCACAGCAAAGTATACATCACGTGATTCACATCATATTTTTAGTTGACATTTTGTTTCAGTGAACTTCAAAGTGAAGAGTAGCTTGCAGTTTCAAAATAGGCCACAGCTAGCAGTGTGAGTAAAAATGTAATAATGCTGTGTAAAATCCTTGTCTGGGTCCTGCTTACGGAACTGGGTCAGCGAGGTCAGGCCAAACCTGAGGGGTGTCGGTGGCAATAGGCTCTGTTAACTAGACTAAATGGAAAGCTGCTTTTTTAATATATTTTTTTACAGAAAGGTGACCAGATTAGGGCAGGGTTACTCAAAGCAATCTGCTCTCTCTGGGGAGAAAAAAAAAAAAAACTCTATGACGTAATGAAGGACTGAAACCTGGAACTTGAATCTAAGATCTAAGGTAAAGGCCAAAGTTGCCATCTTATGTTTCAAAAATGGAATAAAATATGAAGCTAAGAGGTCAAGAGTAGGTTGAAACATGGAAAGAGAGCTTACCACTGTGGCTATGAATGCTGAAGAGTTGGAGGTTCCATCCACGTGATGTGGCCTCTCTGACCTGAGATGACCCAGGCAGCGGCAGGAGTGGACACAGATGAGAGGGTTGCATCAACGTTCAGACAGTTAAAAGTATGGCATGTATACACATCCCCATTTATCACTGCTCTATTGGAAAATCTGTCATGCTTAAATGATGTTTATTGAAAACTGATGTTTAAAAACAATTAAGTGGATGCTTGTTATCAATTTTCAGCATCCAATGTCAGCCACTACTCCGGAATTTGTCTATTATGGAAACATACAACTTTGTTACAGATCCAACACTGAGATGTAGAGAATGTTTAGAGGAACCCAGATATGAACACAGTAAATACAATAACCATCATCACTTCCTGCGTGATCTAAGCAACGAAATTCTACATTTTAAATACGTATTAGCTTTGAGTCCCCTGCAAGGCATGTCTGACCTTGTCACATTAACTCTGTTTCCATTGCCTCATTATAATCTACAAAGCAGAGCACGTATTTAAATTGTTCAGTGTCGCCTGGCATATCTCACTTCTGACACAGCTCTCAACGCCGTGATCGATCTCCTGTTCAGCTGAGCCCCTTCCTGTCCACTCAACAATGCCTCTCCATCCTAGTCCTTGTCAGACTCTCATTTTGTCTCAGACAACTTCATAGGGCAAGATTAATGAGAAGAAAATGCATGTTTGTTCTAGGTCTTACTGCTGCTTTTTAAAAATCTCTTGCCATGACCAAAGGGAGAGATTTCTTAAACTGTTAGTCTAGCAATTAACACTCACGTATAACTGAAAGACAAATATTATCATGTGCCGCATATGAGTGAGTAGAAAGCAAAGAGATGGACACTGGGAAGAATTTAAATCATAGTTGTCACTCTCAAAAGATTGATCATCAGGACTTTATGGGAGTCAAGAAAAGGAGAAGACCTCTATGAAGCTGTGTTTCTGGCATAGTGTATGAGAGGCAGTAGTTTTGTTGGGTGTATATGACTTTGACAGGCAGCAAAAACAGACTATGCTGCTTCATTGATCTACAAATGCACCAAAATGGTAAACTCCACATGTGTGTCAGCTTGTCACAGAATCGTGGCCTCAGTAACTAGTCTCTCTCTTCATCTCTTTTGGCCAAAAGGCCTTATCTCATGTCCTGAACTCACTGTTTATGTGACATTGTCTTATCAGGGCCTCTGACCATGCCCTAAATTACCCTTAAGCTATGATGAGATTTCCTAAAGGTTGGATGTCTCTCTTCATTTTGACACCTGGGGGTCTCTCTTTTGTTTGTGCTCAGCTTTACATTATTACTAATTTTCAACTTATCAGCATGTAAAAATATTTTTAGGAGTGGGACCTGAGGATTAGATGGGAGGTAGAGATGGCTGTCCACGAAAGTTTAGTCTGCCTAGTAATGTACATCAAAAATAAATCGGTCTGAAAACTTTGAACTTTCTTTTCTTCATAGTGAAATCATGATAATAGTACCAGTTTCACAGATGTTTGAGGGCATAAAACTATTTCTTTCATGTGAGAGTGCTTGAGATATTATAATATCCTATGCTAATATGTGAAGGTATTAATATTATCATTTATAGTCAAAGTAAATTAACTCCTACTTCTTAACAAGGCCCAGAGGAAATAAGAGTTTTATCAGAAACAAATGTATTTTTCCCAATATGTGGGGAAATTGAGTTGCTAATGGAGGCTAATCTGGGGACTACAGGGGCCTGCATTGCCAGGGGAGGGATTCTTAATAAAGGAGGCTGATACTATGAGAAAGATGGCAGCTTTCTAAGAAGGACATTTTCCACTTTAGAATGATGCCAGAGTATATTTTTTTCGGCAAATATATTCTGCAAACTATCATTATTGAAATCATGCCAATTCAAGGGAAAAAAAGTAAGACATGTCTCTGAATTTCAGTGTTCAAAATGTATCATAAAACACGTTAACTACTAAAAACTAACTGAGTGCACATTAAACAGATTATCAAAATGGGGTTTATAAATTTGGCAGTTATGTTTGAACACTTATAATGTATTTGTGTGGAGCGTGAGTGTAGATTAGGATAAAAAGGAGAATCTAATCAGATCATTAATAACCAGAACTACAGGTATAAATTGTGATCTCTTTCTTTTTTTCTTAGGAGTCACAACTGAAAGCAATGAAACAGACTGTACAACTCTGCCTGTCAACAGTTTTCCGTGATCAATCACCACCTTTGAGTTTAACCAGGTCAAATCCAACTCAGATGTCAATTCCACCTGGTACAGTTGATATGAAGATGCTAGATACAAGGACAAGAAGCAAGGTACGCTTTATTTATGCTTTGAAAAGTAAAATCAAATAATGTGCTGTCTTTATAGCTAATTTTATGTGATTATGGTTGTGGATTCAAATAAAATATAATAGTGATTAAAAGATCAGGAAGTAAATGGAAGGTAGTAACCCAATTTGTAAAGTATCCAAAATCACAGGGAGAACATTCTTTAGCAGGTAGAGGCCAACTTATTCTTAAGCAGGATGATCTAATTATAAAATAATAATAATAAGTATCATTACTATAATGACTATTTTTTCAAAAATAACATTCTAAAATTATTCTAAAATAATTATTATTTTACATTTAATTAAGAGAAAATATATTATATTCTAATATAAAATGGAAGTTTATTATGGGAAATATTTTCTCCTAGGGTATAAACTATCAACCTTACAAAAGTAGATACATTTTTAAAAATATTTTATTTATTTATTTTTAGAGAGGGAAGGGAAGGAGAAAGAGAGAGAGAGAGAAACATCAATGTGCAGTTGCTGGGGGCCATGGCCTGCAACCCAGGCATGTGCTCTGACTGGGAATCAAACCTGCGATGCTTTGGTTCGCAGCCAGCGTGCAATCCACTGAGCTATGCCAACCAGGGCAGAAGTAGATACTTTTTTTTTAAAAGAAATTAAGTCCACAGTTCTCAACACTGACTAAATGTTAGACTCACTTGGGATACTTGTTAAAAAAATCATGACCTTGGGATTCATCCTAGACCTATTAAATCAAATCCTTTGCAGTTGAACTCCAGTCATTAGTATTTTTTAAAAGCTTCCCAGATTTTTGAGACCAACTGACAATCAAATCTTTTTTCACATCCCCACCCTCCTACCTCAGACAGGGCACAGGGCATTTCTGCTTTAGCTTCAACTGTCTTTACCTGCAATTTGCAGGCTGTGCATTTAAATATATCCTGACAATCTGAAATAGTTATTGGAGAAAAGAGTTTTGTTTCAAACAGTATATATTTGAAAGTGCCGTCTCTCTTATCACTTGCCTTAGGATCTCTCCCTGTTAAAATGAGTGTTACAGACACCAGATCCACTTACAATGCAAATCTCTTAGGCTGGGTCCAGGAACACTGAGAACTGGTTTTGCAGTTACCTAATGGTGCGTGCATCTGGGGCCTGTTTCCTCCTGCTGATTTCTGTGATTCCTTAGCTTTGGATTAAAGGGGAAACAGACAGATTGTAGATTAGGGAAATACTCTTTTCAGGACGGAAACTCAAAAACAAGTGAAACAAAATACATATTCTAACATACAGTTTTTATCCGTAACTCTGTCTATTTATGGGCTGCGTAATTTAGTCTGTATAATCTCAAATTTCTCTATCAAAATCATTTACAAATATATATTTCTATCTCATCCTATTATTTTCTTTGGCTGTATTATGCCTTGAAGTATGTCAAAATATTTAGAATTTTATTTTTCTACTTTATTTTTTTTCTGCCCTTTCTTTGAAAACTCTAGGTCTGAAGTGCTTATTTACATAACCAAATCCAGAGGAAAGTGGCATAATCATGTATTTCTTAAATCCTGGGTAAAATTTATTGAATCTGGTTACTGGTTAAGTACACAGTCACCCTCATGATCTCACTCACCTACCAGGAAACCATTACTGCATCCACTTAGTTTAAGGCGGGAGCAAAAGCCCAGCCTTAAGTCTGATGACTCTGGGCAAAGCCGCTTTGTAATTTTATAGGCACATCACACTTGTCTCCAACCCAAATATGTTTATTTAAGCTCCTTATTGCAACTAGGGTCTTGATATACCTCAGTGTGTGGAGGAAATCCTTGATTGTTACTTTAACTGATTTATCATCAATAAATGTATATCCTGTCATTGAAATAGATAATAAATATTTATTATTTCTCTTGGATTATCACAGAAAAAGATAGAAAGCATTTAGATGAGGCTGCTTTGGTAATTTCTCATTTTTCAAAAACTAATAACAGAAAATCCAATCATTTAAGATAAAGTTCAATAAATCTAAGCTGATGCACTGTCAAGCATTCCATTTTACAGATTAGCTTTTAAAGCTTCTCTGGGGTTTATGTTGGTCCATATTCTTTATCTTTTCAATAGTGGTGGAAATTATATATTTTATATATACTTTTGGCTTATCTCTATGTAGGCATGTCTGAGATAATTTCAAAATCCTGAATAATAGAAAGTAACATGAGGTGTGTGTAAACTCTTTAGTCATGGAATGTTTTTTCTACATACAGTAAAAGTAGCTTTTACAGTAGGATATTTAACTGGCATGTCTTCAGAGTTGGCTAATCACGAATACAGTAATCTGTTGTGCCCATCTGAGAGCTGTGAGGGAATCACATCACTTAACCTCTTTATGCCTCAGTTCCCTCAGTGCTTATTTGAGAGTGTTGTTGTAACATCAACATTAAAAATTTATTCTTGTCTACAGTGAAACCGAGCTGAAGGCACCTGACCTCGTTTGATCTTGGAAAAAAGAATTCTTATTTTCCATGACATATGGCTGGTCTTATCTGTTTTTATTTGGTTTTTCAATCTTCAATTTTCTTCAAAAAAAGAAGGGTATTTGTTTATTCCTGAAATCTGTGACATGTATCCAAGCAAGCGAATTTCAACCCATTCTAGAAAAGGCAAAACAGTCTCCCCCAAGATGTCCATTTGTTTTTTTTTCTTTCAAAAGGTTGCATGATGCAGTCAAGATTTTATTGCATCATGCTCAAGTGTGCATATGTATGTGTATACAAGCATCCATATGTACACACATGTGCATACACAACAATATTTTATATGAAATCCGCTGTGGATTTTAAAAGACACAGACTTCGTCAGATGAGGAGTTCATTATTATGACAACATGTTGGTGAAAACTTAAAAAAATAATTTATATGTCAATAACCCTGACTTTAAAAAAAAATTCTGGAACAGACTGGTTACATGCCCATTTAGCCCCATAGGTTAAGTTGCTGCTGAGAATTCCCCATCTGGCCTGTCAGCCTCCTTTCCATCACTGTGTTGTCTGTAGTTATTCCTGAGTCTCTCTGATTCAAGTAAGTGTTTTCTTACCCTCCCAGTTAGAATTGCTTTTCCTATTTTCAGTGCTCTGAGCACAGTATTTATTCCTCATGGCTCCTGGCCATAACTTGAATACAGTGATGGCTCTGTATTCTCTCCTTAAGGGAAATGACTGTACTTAGCTCATCGATTTTCTCTACATTAGTGTTCAGAGCAATACATCTAGAGGATTCATTTGAAATGGCACTTGTATTTCTGTTTTAGTCAGCGTAGGCTACTCTAACAAATACCATAGACAAGAATACTTAACAGACACTCATTGCTCATAGTTCTGGAGGTTGCAAGCCGGACCAAGATCTAGGTGCTGACAGATTCCGTATTTGATGAGGACGCTCTTCCTGAAGAGTAGACAGCCAGCTGCCCTGTAGCTGTGTGTGTACATGGTCTTCTTATGTGTACGTGCATGGAGATCTCTCTGGCTCTTCTATAAGGACACTTCTTCTTCTTCATAAGGACACTAATCCTACTATGAAAGCCCCATTATCAGGACTTAATCCAAACCTAGTTACTTCCAGATGGTTCCATCTCCTAATACCATCACATTGGGTAACCTCATAGGGCTTTTTTAGCACGAGCATTTTGGAGGACACATTCAATTCTCAGCTATGTCCCTTACCTTCTTGGACATTTTCCTTATTTAGAAGTTAAAAAAATCTTACGGTTGAGTGCTCATTAAGTACTTAGTATTCAAATAAATTGTTTTTCCACGCATATTCCAGATCTGTGCTCATCACCAGGGATGTAAATTTAAAATGATACAACCCTGACTTTTTGGGAATTGCCACCTAACTCTCAGTACAGAGAAAACAAGAAAAAAAAATGTAAGGGGTGTTGTAAATGAGGACTTTTAAAAAAATGTATTTGGAATTCTATATTCCAGATAGCTTTGTTTAAATATAAAGACTAAGGAGATAGTTGGAGCCAAATGCACGCCAGATGAAATCTTTCTTATGTCTTGGTTATGAGATTATATATTAATTATATACAAAATACTGTTCCCACAGAGAGGTAATGAGCAAAGGCATGAGCCAGGAGATCTGATTTGCTTTTTGCATAAAATGACTAATGAGGGTAGAAACAAGCAAACCAGTGACAATCGATTTCCGTGACTCACAACAGAGGTGAAAGTGGCCTGATTTGTGATGCAGAAAAGGAAATGGGGGTCCAGATGCAATTGAGGCATAGAAGTGCAATGACCTAGTGATTAAAGGGGAGGAATAAAGGGAGGAAATAAAGAAAACTCTCAGGGCTTATATTCATTCACTATGATGGGAAAGGCAAGAGGGGCTTTTAAGAGATCCCCCAAAATGGTTTGTTTTTCAGCCTACCGATTGTTAGCCACTTTTCATAGAATTATGTTTATTTCCAATAGGTATGGAGGAATCCTCACAATAAACTTAATGTCAGTGAGCATAATAGTAAATGCCATAAAGAAAGGAGAAAATCAAAAGACAGCAGAAATGAGAAACATATAAGCAGTGAAGATTAAAAAAAGGTGAAATTGTGTTATAAAAACCCATCATTTCATCTCCACCCCTGGCAGTCACCCTTTTCTGTCTTTGTTTTTCTTTTCATGCCACTCATTGCCCTGGGCTTAGCTGCAGTTTACATTGATATGGGTCACAACTGCAGTAAGTATTTAATTGGACAAGAATGATTTGTTAATTTTTTCCCAGTTTGTTAGAAATGCCAAAGTCATTCAAGTTCAGCAGGCAACTGCGGTCCTATTTAGGAGGAAAAGGCATTCAGGCGAAACTTGCATTCTGCTTGGTGCCGGGAGGTTTATGAAGCAAGATGGATTTGTATTTCTTCTCTTCACAAATCTATTACAAAGTAATTTCCAAGAATTCTCAGAACAGTGCACCTGGAATCATCATAGACCAGAGAGTCTCATCCTGGGCTACTTTTTAACCATTGGGA